CGAAAAGCTGATTAATAAATGACAGATTTTTCTTGTTTTTCGAGTGAAATGTTTACGGGAATTTTGCTACAAGCTGTTGTTGCTCTAGACTTAGGATATTGAAATCAACAATATGGACAATGGACGAGAGTGAGAGATGAAAGGAAAGTTTTTTTTAATTCGGAGGGATCTAATGAGGCGGCGGAGTTCCTCTATTAACTATTTTGTCAACAATTTTTATTTCCTTCATTTTCCACTCATCATTTAATTTCACGCTAGAAACGTAAAGTGGAGAAATTTTGTTTTATGAATGAGCGCGGTTTTCGGGTGAGGGAAATTCACCAGCCCATTAGTCAATCGCAAGACGTTTAAAATCTATCGTTGCGCATAAAAACTTCTTTTTAAGACTCTCAATCGTTCCTCCATTTATTCCGTAATGGTAAAAAACAACTTTTTAGACCCCCCCCCCCCCCTCTCCAATCTCCTCCCAAAAATAAAAATAGTTTTCTTTTGTTTAAACCGTAACAAAATCTTAGAATATCCATCTTAAAGCGTTATACAATAAGTGAACGTCCCCTAAATTATTTCAAAGTTCTAGACCCGCTCCTTTTTCGTAAGAACTGAACGTAATAAGTGAATAACTCCTGAGAAGTTGATTCATCCTGGTTGTCAAACTTCTCAATACTTGACAAGCTAGTGTCAGTGCTAATCAAGCTGTGCTCTGCGATACACCTTCCAGTACTTCTCAAATTTTGGGAGCCTTGTCATAGATAACATTAATATTTGGTGCAAATTTGATGTTCTGCTTGTTGCTGTATCGTGAACCATTGTTTGAGAAGCACTGAAGTACTTTGTCATAGCTTAAAATGCTAGATGACACAATTAATTTACATAGTTTGTAAAACCAGAAGTTCAGCAGGTTTGTGATTCGTTCTGAAAAGTTTAAGAATCACTTAGGTGTGCCGCAGAGTATAGTTTGAGTCCCACTGATTCAAGATGTAATTAGAAGACAAAAACTAGTCACACAGCAAAATACTATTTTCAATCCAATTCCTCTTTGAATGGATAAATCAATTTTGATTTGAAGACTTTCTTTCAGACATTAAAACATCAAATAATCACCTTCGATAGCTCAGTTGGTAGAGCGGTGGACTGTAGTGGTTGTAAGAGATTCAATTGAGTTTCTGATACAGATATCCATAGGTCACTGGTTCAAATCCGGTTCGAAGGATTTTATTTTGATTATTTTTTGGATCATGATGATTTGAAGGCATCCTGTGGTAAGGGTCTCTAGTTAGAACATATTCTAAGCTTCTTCTAAGTTTGACTAGAATATTTTTTATATTTATAAATTATTCCCATCCTTTACATACCCTCATCTTGGACAATTAGCACATCTCTTCCACAAAATCTCTCCTCATTATCAAAAATTTAACAATTTTCCATACCCAGAAAATCGCACTTCCATTCCATCCCCTCAAAAATCCACCAAAAAGTCCTCCTTAACTTGTTTCAATTTTAACATTACAGTGTAATGACAACACAGCATGGAATTAATTAAAATTCACAATTTTCTGAGGGACTTTTTGTTGTTCATTGCCGCTGCTGTTTATGTCCATTTCTAACTAGCATTAATTATTTGTGTACCACTTTGAAACATATGTGGATTTTTACTCTTTTGTAATATTTTGCAATTTATTCTGAATTTACGCATTCATTGCATTTTTTGGCACTAATATGTGATATGCCTTTATGGTCAACATATGTTTAGCTTCTTGAATAGTTTTGGACGTGACTTAATGAATGAAAAGTTGTTTGGTGTAAATAATCGGAATTATGGTCCTTGACAAAATTGAGGATTTTAAAGCGGAAGTTGGATATTAAGGTTTGGAATTGGAAGCATTATATGTGTAGATTGTGATGGATTGTTGCTGCTTTTTAAGCTGTACACTGGTAATCCAAAACAAATGTTGAAGGAACGACTCTGATGAGTTTTGTTGCTGTTTTGAAATGTTTTTAAAAATCCAAAAATATAAAAAAGACTTAAAATCCAGACGTGGCCCAGTTGCCGCGCTTAGGGATTGTTAAAGACTGCTTTTTCCTTAGAAGCCTTCTGCTAGTTCGGAATATTAAAAAAAATATACCAAAAAATAAAATCAAGCCTTACATTTAGGGGGTTTCCAAAAAATTGTGACACATTATTACAGGGGAGGGAGTGGGGAATCAGGTAATTTGGGACATCCTATTTTTTAATCAGGAAATTATAACTTTTTGTGTCTTGGATTGGACGTCACAAGGGGGTGGGTGGGAGGGTATTGACACCTGTGACAGTTTTGTAGCAGAGGGGGGGGGTCAAAAACTTAGAGTTTTTTGATGGACGTCATAAGTGAACCAAGCCATATTTACAATAAATACATCACATAAATGTGATAATGTTTGGCAATATTTCATCAAAACATTGATAAATTGAATTCCTTACTCATCATTAGACATCAAAACTAATAAAGACATTCCAATGATTTTCACTCACTTTACCTAATCGCCTAAAAAAAATTCTGAATTTTTGCACAAAAAAATTGCTATTCCTTAATGAAACAAAAAGTAGAATAAAGAAATAAAAATGACTGCAATTTTTCATCTTTAATAGAATTCATGTATGTACGCATCTCATTCGGCAGTTCCTTCAAATTGTCAGTAAATTATTTTATTTTCACATGAATGGACATTTGATAAATGTTATGTTATGTGTGTGATGTCATTTTTTGCTATACATACGCATGCCGTTGTCATTTTTTTAGCAATAAAGTGAACAAAACAGGACATTAGACGCTAACAATAGATGCGATTTTTTTTATGTAAAAATTGCCAAAATTTGAAATTGATAAATTGAATTTCCGGATCAAAAAGCAAATTTTGCTGATTTTGTGTCTGTTAATGTTTCATATTCATTAACAATTGCTGTTGTGCACGATATTAAGCCTAACGGTAGTCGCACTTACGAACATGAAAGAAAACTAAAAGCTAAGCTCAAACTACAACTAAAGTAAGTCATAAAAGCAAGTAACAACAGCACAGTAAAATAGAAAGTAAACTAGTTATATCCAGTCTTAAAACATCAAATAATCACCTTCGATAGCTCAGTTGGTAGAGCGGTGGACTGTAGTGGTTGAATTCGCTTAAGCTTTAAGTTTAAGTTTGAGTTAAACAGATATCCATAGGTCACTGGTTCAAATCCGGTTCGAAGGATTTTTTTAATATTTTATTTGAAGATTAAGGAAGTTTAAGGATCTCTGTAAGAATTGTGTAAGTTATAAAAGATGGCATCAACATTAAGCTACTCATTTTGGACTAGATCAACTGTTATATTTGATATAAGGATAGGAAAAAGGTTGTGTAAAAGGATATTTCCGAATAACACAAGTCGATTAATCAAATAGAAATCTGGCACAAAGCCGACGTGATACTAGGATAGTCCTGGATTTAATTTGAAGTCAGGATCATGCCAGATTCATGCTTGTTTGTTGCCAGATTTCAGATCGGTTTACCGACTTGCGCTATTCAGGATAATGTCACCTTAACTTCAATTCATTAAGATTGCAGCAAGTCTGAGTCCATAAACTGCACTTTAAGAATCATGAAACCAAACTCAAGTCTAAGAATTCTGTTGTTAAGATGAAAATTATTTGGAAACTCGCTTTAAAAGCGTCAACAGATTCAAAATGAAATCTTCATGAATCACAAAAGAATGCTCAAAAATTCATCAATTGTGAGATTAAGAAGAGAGAAACTTGAATTGATTGTGATAAGAAATTTTATGTCTCATTCATTGAGTCATTAAAAGTTTCAACAATAAATCATTTAAATTAACTGCGGAGAATTAAAATTAAAAGTATTTTAGCTTTTAAACTGGTGTTAATTATGAATCTACAATTAGTATTATTTCTATCATTCTTAGTCATCAAATCAACAAGTTTTCCTTCAGAAACAAAAGATACTTGCTGTAAACATTTGTCAATTGCAGCTAAAATTCATGTAGTTTTACTGAACATAATTGGACAAGATGAAGTTCTAGAAAATAGAAACTGCAAATTTAAACCTAAGCTTAGTGAAAGTGCTGAAGATGGTGGCTACTTTGTGACTCCAAAATCAATCATCAGAAGTTTAACAAGAAATCAAACTGAATCAAAAAGAATTAATTGAAAATTGATGAGGACAGTTTGAGAGTTTTTTGGAAGTTTGTGATTGAAAATGGTGAATTTTTCCAACAAATGAAGAAACATTTTGAAATTGGGTTTTTCACTTACGACGTCCTTCAAAAAACATAATTTTTAGACTTTCCTCCTTTTCCTTTACCACAAAACTGTCACAGATGTCACAATGTGTCACAAAATTTTAGACCCCCGGACCCCCCTCCCCCCCCCCTCTAAATGTTGGACGTCATAAATGCATGACCCCTTACGATGTCTGAGATTTAAAAGGAGGAAGGGGAGATCTTTAGTAATTACTAATGGTACATTATAGTCATTATTTATGAATGAATCTTAAAAAAATCGGCGAATCAGCTCATTAAGCTGCATAAAATGCTAGAAATCCAATGAATATTTTTTAGTCATTTTAAATCAAGTAAACTGAATATTTTATAAGTCTAAAAGCCTTACTTTACATAAATAGTATAATATTCAAAATAAAGAATATTTATGCAAATTAAACAAAAACTGATAACAATTTTGAATTCTTACACATGACGTAAAACCTTTGACGTCACTATTTGCGGTTCACTAGAAATCAAAAATTTACTCTCAAACTCTCACTTAAGAATTCGTCTTTACATTTCCTCTCATTTCTTCATTTTTCGCTCACACTTTATGCTCGCATTTTTAACTGTCTTACTTTTCCACTTACTTTCTCACCGTCTTGCTCTGCATCAAGCTTAGTAATGAGCTTAAGTCAAAATGGTTTTCATCAAATATTCACCTTCGATAGCTCAGTTGGTAGAGCGGTGGACTGTAGCGGTTAGCGAGATGCGCTTAAGTTTCTCACAACAGATATCCATAGGTCACTGGTTCAAATCCGGTTCGAAGGATTATTTTGCATCTTTTTTTTTTATTTTAATTTTCTTGTTTTCTGTGACAATTGCCAATCATTCTCACATTTTTTATGAACTCACATGATAGGATGTGCATCAAAAATAGGGGATGGAGGGACAATGCAACAGTCTATTTTGAGGGTCGATTGCTACAGCTTGTTAATGGCCATCAGCAGCACGTTTTTTTATGGTGTCGAGTATATTTTTTAATAGAAATTTAATCTCAATTGTGTTAATCATAAGATTGATTGAATGTCATTTAACTTCCGATAGCTTCTATTATTGGGAATTTTTTTGAGTTCAAAAAAGGGACAATTTTGTATCGAAACGATTAATTAATAAAATAATTGTTACATCAAAATAGCTACAAATTGAGTTTCATGTTTCAAATTCCAACTTTTTTTTTATTATTGCAAAACTTTCTCATGTTCATTTTTATTACTGCCATGCTGCTTATGCTTGCTCTCCATAGAGAAAATAAAAATTTAAAGTGAAATGTCAAGAAAAACTTTTCTGATTCCGAAAAAGTTCAGTGAACCAAAAAAAAGAGTTTTTTTTTTTTCATTTTCTCATGCAATTTTCCATTAAAACAAAAGGGTTGAAGTAGGATTTTATGGAGTGGAGTTCTTCAGGTTGCATGCACTCGAGATGAAATATAAAAAAAATAGAGCGAGTTAAATTTGTGTCATTGTGCCGAAATTCTTCATGCCTTTATGCTGTAAATGGTGCGGAATTTTTTAATATTTTTTTTCTCATCTTTTTAGTGCCTCAAAATTACAATTAATTTCCATTCTCAAGTACGGCACACGCTCGTCAAATGACACTTCATTTTTCATATTAATTGTACCCAAAAATATTTACTTGTGCATCCTTATTCAGCATGAGATGCGTTTTGACATTTTAACAAATTGCATTTACATTTAGGGGTTGATTAGAAGTGATGTACTGCAATTGAATAGTGCTTCAGTGAGGAATGATTACCTTTTTGGATCAAAATTGGAATTTGAGACACGTTAATAAAGTTTTTGGAGCCAAGACCGCAATTTTTAACCTTGAACTGGTCGCTAGTGGGGTTTTGTCATAATTTGGAGTCCATTAAGATCCATAATTTGAGTTGAACAGCCTTAGTCATCCTCTTTTGTTTTGTATTTAGGTTTAGTAAAAGAATGTCAAGCTGCACTAGAGACTCCAGTAAATTTTTGTCCAAATTGAATAAAAATCTGATTGTTCTGGATTGTCTGAACCTCTCTATTGGTCGCTATAGCCCTAAAGTTGACTCTAGTCATACTAGCGACTACAGTCATTAGATGATGTCAAAAACGAAGTCCATGATAGGTTTTAGGAGTCCTTGTTGACATCCTGAATCTCCATACTAATATCTACGACCCCAATTGTCATCATCCACAAACAATCCCTTATTAAAAATGTTATGCAACATTAACATGATTTACAAAAAAAAATTACATTTTATGTTCATAAAAAATACATCGAATTGGTCAGTGTTTTATTCCCATTTGCAGCTTGCCAATCCTCTTGACAAACAAATAATCATCAACAAAAGAAGGACATAAAAATTTATGTGACTGTAAGTTCATCAATATCAAATCATATTGAGAACTAATACAAATTATTTAAGTGGAAAAATGAATGCAGACTCATAATGGATTAGTTGAATAGGAACACAAACGATAACAATAAATTTGCGTACATTTTTTTTATGAATTTAGGTTAAATAGTTGACAGAAAAAATGGGATGCGTAAATATTTGATGAGCTAGGGACGTATTTTGACCATCAAAAATCAAAATAGACTAGCTTTGTCTCTTTCGTGTCACATCTGAATGATTTTTATGACTTTTTGCATTCACATGTGATGGAAGGAAGGGGGAATTGAGTTTTTGAGTCACACAAATATGCTACTTCCAATTTATGACCTACAAAAATCAACTTAGTTCGTGAGAGAACACGGAAACTATCCAAATATGACAAAGACAATTGAATTTTTGCCAGTGGTAAAGGCAAGAGATATGAAATTTATGATGTAATCAAATCGAAGCGTGTGTCAATCTCATTTTGATGCTCCTCATCATCATTGCTGTGCTACTCATCATCATAATATTCTCACAACTTCCTGAATGCACTTTTTACACTGTTGCTGTTGATGCTGCTCGCATGTCACACACTATAAATTTTTATGAGCACAATTTCGATAATTTTTAAATGCAGATTTTCAAATGTCTTTTTATGGTTTTTGAGCTACTCACGCGCGCTTATTGTTTGATTATATTTATTTACTGATTTCCATATTGTTCTCTAACCCAAAATATTTTCATTTTTGTTTATTGGAAATTGCAACAGGATGTGTGTTAAGGAACAAGGAATTTTTGAATTTTTTTGATGATTTATTTATGTTTTCAATATTTTCAAACTGCTTTGAATGGGAATTTAAGTTTTTAGGGTGAAATATTATGATTTTACAAGTTAATAATGATAAAACTATTAATATTTCTTCATTTTAAACAAATACAGACAAGTTTATATTTCACTATGGGGCAAAATGAAAAAAAAAGGGACTTTCACTTTGAAAAATGGACTTTTCCGATTTACACTTTTTGGGTGATTTTTTCTTGTAGAGGACATAAAAGTAGATAGAAATGCCAAATTTCAGGTCATTTGGTGCTGATTTCGCGATTCTAGAGCTGTTTGAAGTTGAAAACTAGTGAAAATTCTGGTTTTTTCATACCATGTTTGAACCGGGAAATATCTTAACTGGTTTAAGATATTGCAAAACGGTTTTCAGTTCCTATTAGTAGTATATAAGAGCTTTATTTTGACATATAACAAAGTTTAGGTTCTGAATGTTTTCGTGCCATTATGGTAGAACATATGTGAAAATTTCAGGAAAATTATCTTCAAACAAGCCGCAACTATCATAAATGAAGAGTTTCCAGGCAAGTAAAAACGCAGTTTTGTAGCCCCATATATCTAGTTTTCAAAACTGTATAAACTTTGAAAAAGTAAGCTAACGTAATTGAGTTATGTTGATTTTAGTAGGTCGTTGAGTATTTGGCCAAAAACTAATAATTCTTTTAAAAATACGAAAACATAGTTTTAAAAATAGTTTTTTGGTGTTTTCTTATGAAAAATAACAATTTAAATGATTTTGTGAAGAAAATTTTTCAAAAACTTCAAAATCTTTCGAGATATAGGGGGTATGTGCTCTCCATCGATTTGGCCATTTGTCACCCTACTTAAACCACTATAACTTTTTTTTGAAAAAATATTTTTTAATTCTGTTTTCGGATTATTGTAGCCTAATGTAATACCTATCCAACGATATATAATACTTGCTAGTTAACTTAGTCCTGGTTATTTATAGGGCTGTTGATTGTGACATACGCAGTTTTTGAAAAATTCCCAAAAATTGCATTTTCAAAAATACCACTTTTAAGCAATCTCGAGTATTTTTTTAGAACTTTTTTATGTTTATTTATGACATTTATGAGATTATAAAGCCAAAAAATTAAATTTAGAAACTTTTTACTTCCCTAGTTAACAACTTTGTAAAGTACCCTTGGTAGTCACTATCAGGTGTGAAAATCTCAGTTTTGAAACTATTTTATATATATACTCGTGAAATTCTCTCTACACATCATATCAGTTTTGAACTTCATTGAACAAGTCACTTTCAAAAATGAACCAAAATTCAACACTTACGAAGAAAACACTCTGTGAAATTCTTCGCGACAAAACGTTAAATCTTGCAACACAGCACACGTACTGTTTGGCAGTAATAGAAGAAATTCATGGGAGAGAATTAGCGGAATCACAGAAACCAAGTTTAATTAATAAATTAAACAAGCTGAAGTCAAAGTCAAAAATGTTTTGTAATCAGTCAAATTGGAATAATGCATTAAGAGATCATGCAGATTTCTATGAAGAGGAATTTGAAGTTGACTCACGATACTTCAGCGAATCTAGTGGAGGGATTCTTTTTGAGGAAGAATCTATATATGAAGCAGAAAATGTTACTGACACAGATGAAGATATGGATGAGATTGAATACATCGTCCATGACATAGAGCCTTCATCCAGCAAGGGCATCAAGAGGAAATCATTTGAACAACTAACAAGCGATAAGCATCGACGTAGAAGAGTGGACGAATTAGATATCAGTTTAAAAGAAGCAAAAGGATCATTGTTATCAGTTCTTCACTTGGCACTTCGCCTTTCTAAAGAAGAAGGAAAAGTAGAAGGAGCTAAAATGTTAAAAGAATTTATTAAGGCGTGCCAAAAAGGAGAGGATCTTCCAGAAAAAACTACATCAAAACCTAAACAACTAGATATACATGTAGCTCTAGGTGTAAAAGCCTTTAACAATTTATCTCGAAATCAGTACAACAATATTCGACAAGTCCTGAAACTGGAATGCGAAAACGTTTTACCGACAGCTAAAAAATTGTTGAGGTTAGAGAAACAATGCTATCCTGATGACATAACGGTCACCGATACAAGAGCCGTTATTCCACTAAAAAATTTGACACAACTCACCACAAAAAGAGTTATTGAAGCACACAATTCAGAAATATACGACAAAATCAAAATATTACCTTCAGAATCAACTCCAAAAGTTATTCATGCAGAAATGATCGTCACATGGGGGATGGACGGAACAACAGGACAGTCACAGTATAACCAAGGAAAAACAAATTCAAGAAATCAAGAACGAGATAGAACACAACCGAATCAAACGACTAATAATGAAATTATAGAAGACAAATCACTATTGACAGTTAGTATGAGTGTTCAGCAACTACGACATGAAGACGAAAACGGAAATTATATCTGCTTATGGGACAACGAAAACAGTCAATCTGTATACTCAGTACGACCAATACAACTTGAACATGCCAAAGAAACCAGAGTAAATGTTAGAAGGATATATGAAGATATAAAAAATCAAATATCAAAACTTGAACCACAGAGATTCATATGTGAAGACATGCTTTTGGAAATTACGTACAAATTCTACCCCACAATGTTAGATGGAAAAGTTTACACAGACCTTACAGAAACATCAGGATATTGCAGATGTCAGCTTTGTAGATCTGGACCAAACGAGATGAGTGACATAAATAATCTTGATAATGGAAGATTCGAAAAAACACACAGAAAATTTGTTAAAGAACACTTGTATTTCAACACTCAGCCACTTCATACATCAATGAACGTACTCACGACTCTATATGATTTGTCATATAAACAATATGTTCAAAAACACTGGCTGGAGATAACTGAAGAGGAACAGATTGTTTTAGATGTTGAAAAGGCTAGAA